TAGGATGGTTTTTTTTGTTTGATCTGAAAAAATCAGCTAAAGGGTTCAGTAAACCTTTTTTTTTTTTTTTTTTTTTTTACCCCAACTTATTATGTTTTCATGTTAGCTAAAGCATTTGTCTGACGTGTTTAATTCTCTATTTTGATGTAATTCTGTTCACTATATAAGCCTGTCTGAACACCAGGTTTGTGTAATGTAAAAAAAAATACATATATAAAAGGATTACTATTGTCTAACACTTTCCACCTTTAGCACAAACTAATTCATACTCCTGGCAAAGGAAGACTTAAAATTCTTTACGTTAAACCGAGAAGTTTGTTTTTAGCAGAATGAGACGCATTTCTCCACGGATAAGTCAATGAAAAAGTCCCACTCCAAAAAATTAACATTACATAAAAAAACAGTTGGTAAAAGAAAAAGATATTTTGCTGAACTAAAATCCTCTTAAACCTCGTAGAAGCATATTTTGATGTGACAACAACACATTTTGTGACTGTAGATTTAAAATATAGGCAAGACAGATTATCTGTGATGTCACTCAGTTAGTTGTTTCTCAGTGAAATGGGAAGTGAATTTTATCCCCTGTAACTCCAGTGCAGCAACTCGACTTTGCGCATCTTAGCAGACCAGATATCCGCCTTCGGCACTCAGACGGCGCACGGCGGGCACTTGGTGTCGGCCTTCCACCGAACGCGAACATGCGTTCGGTGACCCCAACCCCCTGACCCAAATCTCTCTTTAAAACTTCCCACAAACCAAAACAATGGTGTAATCCATGTTCAAGCATATCTGTCCGACTTTGTTCTCCTCGAGGCTTTGTCTCAGTGGTTACATCTGTCATAACAGAGTCGGCTCTAAGAAGCGCCACGTCTGTTGGTGTTAAGAGTGATCGGGTCTGAGCCGATACGACCCACGCAGCGTTAAAACAGAGGAGGGTTGACGGACAGAGCCGAAATGTGGACAAAAAGAAAAAGATGGCCTCTGTCGGCATGTGTGCTGTAGCACTTAGGGGATTGGTAGACTAAAGAATAATTTGAAACTTTAATAGTTCCAACGAAGGTTTTGTAGTTCAACTAAATTGACGTGTTCTTTAATAACTTTTCCGCTTCGGAACAGAACAGGACAGAAGCTTTTCATGAAGAAATCACTGTTTTTACTCTGTTTTCTATTTTCGTTGTTACTCTAGAAGTCGACGAAGGATCCTCTCAGACAGGCTGCACGGGAGACGGCATCAGTTTCCAAGAAGGACAGGTTTGTATGAGCAAACGCTGCCATTTGTCCTCATCGTCGCAAGAGTTTTTAATCCAGCGGCACCTAGTGAGACGATCCACCGAATGACCGTCTGTGTCCGTCATGTCAGCCGTTAGCCTCTGTCCATTCCACTTTGTTCTTGTATTAGAATAATTTTTGTGTGTGAATTTGCTGCTTTAATGAAGTGTGTGATGCTGTCACAGCTTACTGTCCTGCCCAGCGGGATAATAACATCAGCAGTGAGGGTTTTTTTTTTTTTTTTTTTTTTCTGGGTGTGTGCCTCTCGGGGGGCCAAAGGTGTGCATTAACTTACGAAGGGGAGGAATGTGCCCGGATT